GAGAGCTTCAGACCCAGTTGGACGAGTTGTTAGCTCAGGGCTTTATTCGCCGGAGTCATTCTCCGTGGGGCGCGCCGGTCCTCTTCGTGAAGAAGAAGGACGGTAGTATGAGATTATGCATAGATTATAGAGAGTTGAACAAGGTCACTATCCGGAATAGGTACCCACTACCTAGGATTGATGACTTGTTTGACCAGTTGCAGGGTGCGCAGTATTTCTCGAAGATTGATCTTCGTTCTGGCTATCATCAGTTGCGGGTTCGGGAGATGGATATTCCCAAGACCGCTTTTCTTACTCGATATGGATCCTTCGAGTTCTTGGTCATGCCATTTGGGTTGACCAATGCACCCGCGGTATTCATGGATTTGATGAACCGGGTTTTCCGTCCCTTCTTAGATCAGTTTGTGATCGTGTTCATCGACGATATTCTTATTTATTCGAGATCGGAGGCAGATCATGAGGAGCATCTACAGATAGCGTTGAGGACCCTTCAGGAGCACCAGTTGTATGCCAAGTTCAGCAAGTGTGAGTTTTGGCTTTCAGAGGTCAGATTTCTTGGCCACGTCATCAGTAGAGAGGGTATAGCAGTGGACCCGGCTAAGGTCACGGCAGTTCTTGATTGGGAACCACCGAAGACGGTGTCAGAGATTCGCAGCTTTTTGGGCTTAGCTGGATATTACAGGAAGTTCATCCAGGACTTCTCGAAAATTGCGACACCGATTACACACCTTACGAAGAAGGGTGTACAGTTCATATGGAGCGTGGAGTGCCAGAAGGCCTTTGATATTCTGAAGACTAAGTTGACTACTGCGCCAGTTTTGACCATTCCGAGCAGCGTCAGGACATTCGTAGTATATACAGATGCATCGTTGGCAGGCTTAGGAGGTGTATTGATGCAGACTCAGAGGGTAGTAGCTTATATCTCACGGCAGTTGAGGGTGCATGAGCAGAACTACCCCACTCATGACTTGGAGTTAGCAGCAGTGGTGTTTGCACTGAAGTCATGGAGGCACTACTTGTATGGAGTACAGTTTGAGCTGTTCACAGACCATCAGAGTCTGAAGTATCTATTTTCTCAGAAGGAACTCAATCAGAGGCAGAGGAGGTGGATTGAGTTTATCAAGGACTACGAGTTCGCGATCCAGTATCATCCAGGGAAGGCGAACGTCGTAGCAGATGCTTTGAGTAGAAAGCGCCGACATCAGATTGCGGCTTTGAGGTGTTCATTGCACAGAGACCTTATCACTCTTAGCCAGTTTGACTTTAGACCCGAGATTGGAGGAACCAGTGCATTCTTGGGAGCTATGTCAGTGCAGCCATCTTGGAGTGACAGGGTTGTCAGAGCTCAGTTGGAGGACTCTTGGATTCAAACCCGTAAGGGAGAGATTTCCAAAGAGCCTAAAGTGGACTGGACCGTTGGAGCAGATGGAGGTCTTCGGATGAAGGGTAGATTGGTTATGCCAGCCAGTGCAGAGCTGAAGAAGGATTTGTTTGATGAGGCGCACCGTACTCGGTACACAGTACATCCAGGGACTACCAAGATGTACAAGGACCTGAAAAGGCGATTCTGGTGGAGTGGTATGCGGAGAGAGATTGCAGATTATGTGGCTAGATGTTTTACCTGTCAGCAGGTGAAGACAGAGCATCAGAGACCTACAGGGACACTTCAGCCTTTACCCATTCCAGAGTGGAAGTGGGCAGATATCTCTATGGATTTTATTGTGGGGTTGCCGAAGTCGAAGAAGGGGAATGATTCAGTTTGGGTGATAGTGGACCGGTTGACGAAGTCAGCCCATTTCATCCCGGTGAGGACCACTTATACAGCTGAGTCTTATGCGAGGATCTTCATTCGGGAGATAGTTCGACTCCACGGAGTCCCGGACACAATCGTGTCGGATCGAGGATCTGTGTTCACTTCACATTTTTGGAGGAGTTTCCAGGACTCTTTCGGCAGCACACTATCTTATAGCAGTGTATTTCACCCCCAGACGGATGGCCAGACGGAGAGGGTGAATCAGGTACTGGAGGACATGTTGCGGGCATGTGTCATTGACTTCCAAGGCAGTTGGGAGGACCATATCCCACTGGTAGAGTTCGCTTATAACAATAGTTATCAAGCGACGATCGGTATGGCCCCGTATGAGGCACTGTATGGGAGACCTTGTAGATCACCGATATGTTGGGCCGAGCCGGAGGACAGCTTGATGCTTGGGCCAGAGTTAGTGAGGCAGACTACTGAGAAAGTAGCCTTGATCAGAGAGCGGATCTTAGCCGCTCAGAGTCGGCAGAAGAGCTATGCGGATAAGAGGCGGAGACCCCTAGAGTTTCAGATTGGGGATTGGGTTATGCTTAAGGTATCGCCTATGAAAGGCGTGCAGCGATTCGGGAGGCGGGGAAAGCTCGCACCGAGATATATTGGGCCTTTTCAGATTCTAGAGCGCATTGGAGCCGTGTCATACAGACTAGATCTTCCCGCATCGATGTCTAGTATACACAACGTGTTCCATATTTCTATGCTCAAGAAGCATTTGCATGATGAGGAGCAACAGCGAGTATTGGATGCACCGGAGATCGAACTTCAGGATGATTTTACCACTATTGAGATTCCGGTCTGTGTTCTTGCCAGAGAGGACAAGAAGCTTAGGAACAAAGTAATCCCCTTGATAAAAGTTCAGTGGAACCGAGGAGGCATTGAGGAGATTTCTTGGGAGCGCGAAGAGGACATGCGTCGTGACTACCCAAACTTGGTTGAGCAGGTAAATAAATTCTTGCTTTGATTTTCATGTCTTAACTTATGTGCATACCCTTGGTTATGTTTACATTTAACGCTATAATGAGGATACTTTCGCTTAAATTTTAATCGGTTGGAACACATGGTATATATATGGGGGGGTTCCTTGTTTGGATTTTTCACCCGATGTACTAGTTCCACTCGATTAGGATTTGACCGAGAATATTATCATTTTAGATCGTTAGGTGTAAATATCTTTATAATAGTTCATATTGCAAAGTTTGTATGATTTCCGAATTTCGAGGACGAAATTCTTTTAAGGGGGGAAGAATGTAAAACCCCGAAAAATTTCTATAATGTATATATGTATATATATGTGTGAATTAGTAATAGTAGATAATTCCCTTGTGATAAATAACTATATAAGCATAAGATATATATGTGTATCAGAGTTTGGGAGCCCAGCAGGTGTCTGCAAGTGAGAGAAATTGAGTGAGTTGGCGATCAGCAGGTAAAATGCCATCAGCAGGCATTTTTGTGCTGATCGGTCGACCGGCGCGGTCGACCGGCGCGGTCGACCGATCAGCGATCAGAGAGTTTTTTTTTTTTCTTTTACAGGTTTGGTTTCGGGTTTTAGTTGTTGGGCTATTGGGTTTTGGGTCGGGTTGGGGAGTTGGTATTTATACCAACTCAACCCAGGAGAGATCTCCTCAGCCCCAAACGTAAACCCTAGCCCCCCTCTCTTCTTCCTCAAAACCCTAACCTGGTTTTGGTGATCTGGGAGCAGATTAGGAGATTTTCAGTGGGATCTGGGATTTCCAGCAAAGGGATCAACCTATTTCAGATCTAGGGCTTCCCTCAGCACCCAAGGCGAGTAATTTCTCGCCCAACCCCCACCCCTTTTGGTTTAAACATCAAGAACTGAGTTTTTATTGGATTTATGGAGCCAAATTCGTATTTTTGTTTAGCTAACAGTTTACTATATCATAGAATATGGATTTGGGGCTTTATATGTTGTAAAAAAACTCACCCATGCTCTGTTAAAGAAGATCTAGATCTGAGTTTTTGCCTAAAAGAGTTTCAAACATCTTTACAGCTTTTAAAACGATTTGGATTTTTGTTTCTCATGGATTTAAAATCTTGGAAATATAGATTTCAAACTTTGGTTTTGGTTGTGTATTTTCAGTATGATCCCATTTCTTTCAGATACCCATGTTATCGAAATTTTTGGTTCCAGGTTTTAGCAGCTGACAGAACCCAGGTAGGGTTCTGTTCGCTCGGCGGTCGACCGACGCGGTCGACCGCTGAGTTCGAGTGGGAGTTCCGGTCGGCCGCGACGAATATTCGGTCGACCGCGACTCAAATTCGGTCGACCGCGACATAATTCCGGTCGACCGAAGTGTCTGGCGGGCGTCCGCTAAAATTTTGTATCAGAGTTCGGTCGACCGGACCGGTCGACCGACGAACCCTCTGGGGCATAATTCCAGTTTTTGCTGTATTTGGATATTTTCACTCCTATTTGGGGGTTTGTTTGGATTATCTGACCATGGTAATTGATCCCACTACGTGTCCATGCATGATAGGTGACCTGGGGTGTAAATTTGGGACTTATAAATTATTTTGGTTATGAGATAAATGAGCAAATTTCACTACATGAGAGAAAGCACTCTTTTATTGTTCCACAGTCCTCGTGTTGGACTATAATCCATAGAAGTCCTCGTGTTGGACTAAAATCCCTCTCAGTCCTCGTGTTGGACAATTTGACACTTATTCCACGAGTTTGGATAACTACGATAGTTAGTTCTTGTTTCGGACATGATTCATAACCCTGCATACGATTATTATTCTACATTTTACAACATGATGAATGTATAGATTTGGTATGACACTTATGAAGATTTTGACCTGATATTCATGTAAGTAGTAATATGATATTCATGTTGGTTATGTCATAGCACAATTATTATTCTGATGTCTGTCGTTTTTCTTCTATTTCAGCGCTTGAGCCTTGGGTTTAGTATTTAGGAGTTTATATATTTGAGATATAAGGTATATATATGAGGGTTTCCTTGTTTGGATTATTTCGCTCGACGTACCTATTCTCGTGTTATAAACCTCTAAATACCAAAACCCTCCTTAGTGAGATCAACGATTTTAGATCTATTATATATTATCTGTATTTTCTTTTACAACGAGCCCTCTTTCCTTGGGGTTGGTTGTGATGTTACTCGCTAGCGCTTTTGACGCTCGTTGTCCCTCCCCCTTTCAGGTCACGAGCCAGGAGCACGGAGTGCCGCAGGTTGATAGCGATGCACTTTAGTGTCAGCTGTCTACTTTAGACATATTTCTCTTTTGGAGCTCCACTGTAGACTTTTTGGTTTAGACATTTGAGAGTTTATTCTAGAAGTTGTAAAGGCTGTGTGCCTTATTTCCTTTACTCAGACTTATTGTATTTGAGACTTGTTAAGAACTCCAGTTTATTCATTTCAGTCTTCGACTATGTACTTCAGTTCATTTCGTTGATGAGATGTGTTAGGTTCTATCATTTCATCCAGTATTGTTGATTTACCTTTTTACTTGCCTTGTATCTACACCTGTTGTCGTTTCCACTAGAGAGATAGTAATTGTGATGGTGAAACGTGTTATTGTACAGTGTGGTGCATGGCAGGTTTGACATTTCTGGTTTCACCTTGGACTGCAGCCTTGTGTGAACCCAGGGGCGTCACAGTTCCCAACTGACTTGATATTATCCCCAAACGTGGTTAGGCTGTTGTTAACTAAAGATAGAGCCAAATCACTTGTTCTCATCCAAATAACCGTATCCGAGGCCTATAAATATGAGCCAAATGCCTCTATTTTCGGGATCTGGAATTTTACCAAGAGGACGAGGTGCTGCTGGATTGGAGAGTCAAGGAGCACGAAATTTCATCGAAGGTGAACGAGATCCCGGCGAACTTCGGCACAAAAGAGAAGCCCCTTCGAATGATCTGAAGCCCGTACATCCGTTCCTTGAGATTAAGCTTTGTCTTAATCTCGAGAAGAGCCCTGATTTCACTTTGTCGATTTCAGCGCTTCAAGCAAATACCCCCTTGGTGAGGTAGAAGCTCTGCCTAATTTTCCATCAACCGGATCTGATTCGTGGTCGTCCACGGATTAACCCCGGTACCGGCAAAGAACCCACGCAAGCAAGAGCCGATAAACGGATCTTGTGTTTATTTTTAAGAAAGTTGTAATCTTTTATTCTTTTGTTATTTGAATTCATTTGTAACGCTTAAAGTTTAATGAAATCAATGACTAAGGTAACTTTCGACGGCGAAGGCTGACATGTCGCAACCTCGGATCCCGATCCCGGTTGAAACGGAGGTCGAATATGAGTTCGACCAATGAAAGTACGAGGAGTACTTGTCCTCCTCCTCCAGATCGGCCTCTCCTCGCAGATGCAGGAAGGCCTACTCCAGGAAGACCCGTTGGACTTCAGCTGCAGAAGCCCAAGAAGAAGATCTTCCCGCCACCGCTGCACTCGTGGCTCACAACGCCCCGCCGGCATCCGACGAGGCTAAAACTACAGATCTGAACCCCTTAAGCAAAGGGTCGACTGTTGAGGATGTGCCCGCTCTATCAAAGAGAGCACGTCAGAGGCGACGTCAACGCCTCGCACGTCAACTGGCCAAAGCCTTGGAACCAGTTGATGGAATCCGCTATGAAGCGGATCTGAAGTCCAGGAGGCGCCAACCACCACAACAGAGGGTGGACAACTCCTCCTCCTTCAAACCAGTGAGGAACGAATGGGTTCGCGTCAAAAGGACCCGATCGACTCTTCAAGAGCGGATTCAGAAACGCCGCGCATTGCTTGCACAAGCAAAAATTCTTATGCAAGAAGCCAAGAAATTGGAGAAAGATGGAGTGGAAAATAAGCCACAAAGACTGCACCAAGTATGGAGGCCAAAGTCTAAGACGGCGGCCAAAAAGTTTGAAAAATGCGAGTCACTCCAATCCGACCTGCCGAAAAGCAGGTCACTCCAATCTGACCCGCCAATTCGTAGGTCACTCCAATCCGACTCGCCAATTTGTAGGTCACTTCAATCTGACCCGCCAATTCGTAGGCCACTCTAATCCGACCCGCCAATTTGCAGGTCACTTCAATCCGACCCGTCGAAACGCAGGTCACTCCAATCCGACCCGCCAATTTGCAGGTCACTTCAATCCGACCTGCCAATCTGCAGGTCACCCAGATCCGACCCTCCAACTCACGGGTCACCCAAGTCTGACCCGCGTCAGAGTCAAGACAGAAGATCTCTTGCACTTATTTCGTCAATTCCATCAAGTTCTGCGCCTCCGGTTAAGGTCCGCGATAGCGTGGATTTGTCCCATTTTAAAATAACGATCAAAGATCGCCTTGGCCCTTCACCCGATGATCGAGGCAAAGCTCCGGTCAAAGAGCGCTTAGGCCGATTGAATGAATCTCGAGCACATTGTCAGGCTGAGGGTCGTCATCCTAAGCAGTGGAGGAGAATGTATAACGGGAAAAGTCCCGCAAATGACCATATTGGATTGCGTGTTGAAATCCAGGAGCCTGTTGAGGGCCGACATTCGCAAAAACGTTGCCTCAGACATGCGACTCCTGAGAATGCTAACAAAGCATTGTATCCCCAAAAGAAAATGTACTCGTCAGACGAAGACGTTATACCTGGGAAGTCGTGCCAACACACGATAGGTTGCTCCAGTCATCAAACTGACGAGTTGTACTATCAAGCTGGGGGTGCGAACAAATCCAGGAAAATGAGTGCCCGGGACACAGATTCTCACTGTCCATGTGCCAAAATCATCAAGGCAGTGTTGTCAGAAAGTCACTATTCCAAGCCCACCCCGAAGAGAGTTTCAGTATTTGAAAGAATCTCCGTCAAAACGTCTGAATCCAGACTAGGACATTTCCGAAAGAAGAGAGCTGCTCTCCAAGATGATGAATTTCCAAAAGTATCTGTTAACATGACCGGGAGAGGAAAGTCAACGCGACACTTTATTCCGGATCAGTTTGCCGCAGTGTCCCAACGTATAACTCGATTGCGATCAGGGACCAGCAGACGAAGGGATTACCAAAGAATGCAGAAGGGACTTCCTTCGGATGATGAAACCTCGGATGCTTGCTCGGATGCTTGCTCGGATGCTTGCTCAGCGATGACTTCCGATGACACCGCATCAAGTGCAGGACAACCCTACGAATCACTCATGATTAGCGCCGAGCAAGTGGCTAAGATTCTTGAGGATGCTTTAACTAAGCAAAAAGACAGTTTTAAATTTGAAATGGAATTGGCCATGCAGCAAATGAGGGAGATGCACGACCAGCAAATCGCGGCACTGACAACTTATTAGGGAGAGTCTAGCCGTCACAATAATCAGAACCAAGATGATAACGAGCGGGAAGTGGATGAGAATGTTAACATGAACACCCCTCCCGTCAACAACAATAATGGGGGTGGTCCCTCGGATGATAACAATACGAAGGAGGACCACGTTACAGATACGAGTGAGAATAAGAAAATGAGAGATTTGGAGAGCAAAATCAATGCATTGATGAATGCTCAGGAAGTGAAAAGGTCCGGAATACCGTGCTCATATCCAAGAGAGTGGGAGTCATTCCCATAACCGGCGAAGTTCAAATTAATCAACTTCACACCGTTTGATGGAAAGGGCTCCCCCACTCAGCATTTAATATACTTCAAGTCTCACTTGGGGATAATCTCCGGGAATGAACCTTTGATGGTACGGTCATTCGTCGGCACTCTCCGCGGAGCAGCCTTTGATTGGTATCGCCGCCTCAAGCCGGGGAGCATTAGCAGTTGGGATGACATGGAGGACATGTTTCTCACAAATTTCTTCGATGACGACACTGAGGTCTCGATCGGGACATTATTTGATGAGAAGCAAAAGGACGGAGAGTTGGTGGAGAATTTTATCAAACGATTCCGGAACAAAGCTATGAATTGTAGGGATCCGATTAGCGAAGACTTCATCCTAGAGACTTGTCACAACAATCTTTCATTGGATATTCTCGAAGCCATGGGAATAGCACCGTCTAAGACCTGGAAAGATTTGAAGGTCCGAGGGGAAAGAGCCGAACGTTTCCTCAAGAGGAAAAAGGCCAAAAGAGGTCAAACGACGGCACCAGCCCCACAACAGAATTTTGTTTCTAAGGGTAAAGGGAAAGCGCAAGCGAATGCAGTGGACGCGAACCAAACATTCGAAGTGCAATCGCAACCACAACAGCAGCAGTCACGGTGGCAAAAACAGCCTCAGAAACAGAAGACTTCGGAACCGAAATTCCCGAATGTCTACTCATTCAAAGAAGATGAAGTCCTCGGTATTTTCAAATACCTCATAGAAAACAACAAGATTAAGTTGCCTCCGATCCAAGATCATAGAAAACAACAAGATGAAGTCCTCGGTATTTTCAAATTCCACAGAGCGGTGCACCACCCTACCAAGTCATGTTACGCCCTAAAAGACAAGATCCAAGCTTTGATTGATGTTGGGGTCATCACTATGAAGCAACCTAAGGAAAAGAATGTGAGTGCAAATGCAGTTTCAATCAGCTTTGGGTCTGTTCCTTTGAATTGGTTTGAGCCTGAGCCCGTGATAAATGTGGCAATGAAGACCGTCAACGACGATCCTCACAAACAATGTCAGAAAGGACTTGTGCCACACACAGCCTCAAATGGCGAGATTCTATGGGTTCATCCCGATCTGATTGAAGATGAATAATGGGCCGGATCATCATCCCGGAAGAAGTCAAAAGGCAAAGGAAAATCCTGTTACGAAACCTCGATCGTTCCAGAGGAAGATGACGAAGCAATTCCTATTTTCTCATTTTCCGACAATGAACATGAAACTTTTGTAACCACCAGAAATGGGAATGAGTATCGGTTCAAATATCCAAGTGTCTCTGATCGACTAGCTGAGGTGGGGGTGATTACAACTCCCCCCGCACCTGCTGAGAAGACTCCGCAGGAGCCCCTGCACCAAGATGTTCAAAACCCGAGGCAGTCTCATTTCAATTGGCCAATTGGAAGAGATAAACCGGAAAATTCAAACACTTCATACCACTTCGATGTTATGACCCAATTGGCTAACATCCCAGTAAAAGTAACTCTACACGAGTTATCACGTCTTTCTAAAAAAACTAGAGAGGCGTTCACAATCACTCCTGACCAGCTCACCCAAATAGTTCAAGAAGCATTAATCAGGCTGCGTCTAGTTGTTACACTATACCAATCACGCCTATTCAAAATAAGAGAGCTGCAGGCTCAAAAGTACAAATTTCCTAAATCCGAGCATCAGGCTGCGTCTAGTTGTTACACTATACCAATCACGCCTATTCAAAATAGGACAAATGACAATAGTCCAAATCTGGATATAGTCATCAAGACTGATGTACTCCTCGATAACACTGGGGGTGGTTCAATCGCACCTCTCAATGACACTGAGGGTGGCCCAATTTCTTCTTCTCGACATCGTCTGAAGAGAAATGAAGACGAAGATAAGAAGCAGAGGG